TTCATGGAAATTCAAATCCTACTCTGCCAGATTGAAATGCCTGCCACTTTGCCTTCTTAATTGATATTCCTACCCTTATGTCTGCTTTAAATTCGGATCTCCCCTTTATCTTGAATTTCCCCCCTCCTCTGCATTCCTTGATATGCCCACGATACTCTCAACCTCTCGGTCTCCCCTTTCTCCATTTTTGGCCCCAACCCTCCTCCAATGAACTTCAGTCCCCATCCATCTAGCCATAACACTCCTCCCATGAAGTGTAGTCCCCAAGTCTATAGCCCCCAACCCTTCTCCCATGAACTGCAGTCCCCAACCCTCCTCCCATGAGCTGCAGTCCCCAAGTCTAGCCCCCAACCCTTCTCCCATGAGCTGCAGTCCCCAAGTCTAGCTCCCAACCCTCCTCCCATCCTCTCATGGAGTGCAGTCCCCATGCCTATATAGCCCCCAACCCTCTTCCCATGAACTGCAGTCCCCAAGTCTAGCTCCCAACCCTCCTCCCATCCTCTCATGGAGTGCAGTCCCCATGCCTGTATAGCCCCCAACCCTCTTCCCATGAACTGCAGTCCCCAAGTCTAGCCCCCAACCCTCCTCCCATCCTCCCATGAACTGCAGTCCCATATGTTCGTCAGGCCGTATGAGTGACATATTTTATGCGCTTATTGTGTTATCTTTTTATTGCACTGAGCTAACTTTACGTACAAGCATTGTAGATGCAAGAAAACAAATTGAAAACAGTGAAACAATAAATTGAAATAGGAGAATAATGAACTTGGGTGGTTTGCAAAAATTATTCGTTCGATAGCAGACATTAATTTATGAGACAAAGATTCAAGACAAAAATGCGTTGCAGTTGGCGTGAGAAATTTTCGACCATAAATAAAATAACACATCGAAACGGAAGTCTTTGAAACCAGAGAGCGTCACAGTTAGGAAGTTTCAAACACGCAGCACCATATACAAGTTAAATTCGTCGTATATATTCATAAACGGCTCATGAAATCGTTCAAGCAATCTCCGGCATATGGGTTGCTCTCATCGATTTTAGCTGGACCAGATCTCCGCATCGATTGAGCGCGCCGTTTGCTCACGGATTGAACTGCTTATCTGAAGCTCTTGGAGCCGCTGCTTTAACCCGGATCCTGCAGCTGGCGATAATTAGTGCCAGGCTCCATGGTGTGTCGTGCAAACGTGCAACTCGAGTTGCGTTATTGAGGCGTGAATAATTCATCACCCTGTGTGTCTTGATTTGGTCTGTGCAATTAATGGACCGAAGTATAACTAATAAATTCGAAATTATGTACTTTATTTGAATCGATGCACATGTACAATGGTGCAATGGGAAATTGTGGAAACAATACCCAGAAGTTAATTACTTTCAAAATTGTGCGTACAGAGTGAGTAGTGAATTTAAATCCACTATGACGAACATGTAGATGAATTAATATGCCTCTTAGATCGCTACGATTCGAAAGAAATGACAGACGGTTTCAATGCAAAACTTCCCTTCAGCCGAATTTTTGAACGAATTTTGAACGAGTCATGAAAATGATTAAGGAAAATAAATAGTTTGTTTGACACTTAATTATTATTCGTGAATTCACATGGTGGTCGGTATTGCTCAAGCTTACTGTCAATCGCACTGACGTTGCATGCCATGGTTATGAAAACCGACGAGGAAGCCGAGCACGGGCTTTAATTTTTCGATGTCCTGGATGAACTGGCGTTTTGGCCTTGATCGTCCAGGCACTTAGAAAGAAAATTTTCTTATGATTTGCCGTTAGTTTTTGATATGAATGTGAAGATTTAGAGATCAAGTTACATAAATAAGTGAATGCTACGGATATATGCACGTCTATATCTGCTCACTTGTGTCTATCCGTCTATTTTCGATCAGGGTTAAATAATGTCATAATCTAGTAACGAAAATATTTTAAGTTAAGCCATCTCGTCGGTAAATCATATTTAATGTTGACGTGACGACACCAACAGAAAAGGTGCATTTTGGCTGTTATCAAGTGGGCAGGGTGGCCCAGTGGTTAAAGTTCAGAGTACCAAGATTGACGCACTAGAGAGGCGCGGGTTCGATCCCAGCTCTGTGCGCCAGTTTCTGGTCAGAATCGGCAAGGAGGCCGGGCGGTTAAGCACAGCAGAATTGTAGCAGTGAGTTGCGAGTTCGAGACCGCAACAAGCTGTGAATGTTTTGCGATGTTGAGAATCGGCGACAGGCCTACGGCCTAATAACGCTGAAACCGCTATATATATAACAATAAATCGTCAAACAGACGGGAACAAGTTTGCGAAGAACAACCAGTGCAGCGCTAGAAAACTCAAGTGTTAGGACGCTGAAAAATTTTGACGTCATTAATTTATATTCAATGAGACTGCGGAACATTGCGTGGATCGTTGGCAAACATGTCACATTACAACCACTACGTATACGCAGCGCCTGCGTCGTGAACAGGAATTGTTATAGGATAAACACGCGGTCGGTGGGACGTTCAATCGGTGATGTCAATCGAACTCAATTTACGACAGGTGAACTTTCACCCGTTGTAGTTTTCATCGAGCAATCCAATGTAAGGCAATGCAAGTGAGAAATGATGTTTAAGGTTGTTAGTTTTTATTTTCAAGCGTTTGTAAGCTGTCAAACCGAATTAATATTTAAAACGAATGAACCTGGTTTGTAGAACTTAATTAAACGGGTTAGTGATCTTCCGGTTGTCAAACATAATCAAACGGGTGAGTTATCTTCTGTTTGTCAAACCTAATTAAACGGTAAGTGATTTTCAGATCATCAAACTAATTAAACGGATGGGTAATTTTATTTTTATCACACATAATTAAACGGGTGACTGATCTTCTGGAGGTTATACTTAATTTGAAAATGCAGTGTCCAATCTAAATTTGGATTCCGTTTAGGGACGTAATTAGAAAGCTCACTGTGCATGTCATCACTGCATTGAGATAAATTTGTCATGAATCAGTTATCTACTGGATTAAGCCGCTAATTAAGAGCCGTTTTGGGTGAATCCTTGACAGGTTTAATTTAAGGGTGAAATGACATCCGAAATTATAGTTGAGTCAAGCTGTCCCATGTTCACCGAGCCCAGGCCCCGGCATGAGGCCTTCGCGCGTGCGACAAGTCCCAGCACAAGAGTTGCTAGCGATGAATATTCATGCGTGTGTACTTCAAAATGAATGCGATTCAACACTCGTGCATTGTTTATACGTCTATACGCATGCTTTGAGTTAACTTGAAAACGTATTCGTTGAATGTACGTAGAATCATGCATTGCTTTTACTGCAACACTCATACGTGCATTGAGTCATCTTCAACACGCTTACGTTGCACGCAAGTCAACAAGAGCAAGTTGCAAATATTCAACCACGCTTGCGTTGCGTGTGCGTCAATATACCTGCACGTTGCATTTGCATCAAAACGCTTGCTTTGCGACCCTATCAAAATTTTGAGTTGGTGGCGACCCTGAATTAGGAACCGCCTAGGACTTGGACCGAACGTAAATCAGCTTCTCTATGTCTGCTTTTTGTCTACATTCCGGTCCCCGAATCAAACAGCTACACGCGCCTGGTCCATATTTTGCCAACTCTTGCCCTACTCTCAGGAGACTATAAAGTCGGCAAGGAGGTTCTGACTAGTCGCTGATTGCGAACAGTTGGCCAACTGACCCAGAATAACTCTAACGCGAACATAGAAACTCTTGGGCGGAGGCCGAAGCATACCCCGAATATTGTTAGGGGAGTACGACAACATGCGTGCGTTGAATCTAACGAAATTAATAGATGTTGACTAGACAAAATATCTTGACGTGGCCGTTTCCTTCAGAGACGTGCTAAATTTTGAAAAGTGTGTGCGCAGTTGATGAAAACCTGAAATTTTAAACAACATAAACGATTAGTGTAAATTGGGGCGAGCGTAAACCGCCTGCTTATGAAGTAGCTCAGAGCTCGACCCACGACACGCACGCGTCACTTGATCGGCTCTATTACGGCAATTGATGACCCGAGCCAGTGAAGGCACACTGATGGAGAGGCTAATGTGTTCAAGACGGGACCATGTCTCGAGGAGATCTTGGGATATGAAGCAGGCAGGGCGAGACTGTTGGAGAAGACACCACTACGGCAGAGGAGATCTTGGGATAAGGAGCAGGCAGGGGGAAAACAAAAAAAATGACTTGTGTTGTCTCGAAATAGTTTTTCTTCTATTGAACATGACCGGCCGCGTCAGCAAATCGCAATTTAGCTCAAATCGAAGCAAAAAAATTAAAACAATCGCAATATGTTTATTTATTGAGAAAATGTTTTTGCGACATACTCGATTTTTCAAACTCAGAAGTTTCATTCTTCCAAGCGTTGCTTGTTTGACTTGAATGTAAAATTGTGGTGTTATTGTAGTAAATGCTCGCATCATGGCACGCATCTTTCTCTGAAGCATATACTGACCGCAAATTTTAAAATTGTATTAGATATCGTCCGTTTGTCCGCCTGGAACGTTTTGTTGCATTAATACAATGTTACTTACACATATTTGTATTTCCTTTTTGGGAAAATTGGTTCAATCTCAGCTTGTTTATTAAGGAGTTACGTAAGTGTGTGCTACACAGCCATTCCACGTTAAATTGGTCGACGTATTATAGAGAACACGAATGAATAAATTAAGTTGGCCCGCAGTGAAGAATAATCTATCGTATTAGCTGGCTGTAATAATTAATAATTATTAGGTGTTGGTGTGATTGTTTTGATCTGAGTTTGGATTCTTTCTCTGCCGTCCAGTAACATATTTAGATGGGGATGAGGCAAGAATGTAGCAATTACAATCTTGCTAAATTTGAATCAATAATTTTTTGCGGTTTCATTGCGGTATTGTGAGAGGTTCATTGAGGTATTCACTGATTTGAATCTGTACGGGTAACAATTATCAATTATTATCGCTAATATGTCATTTAGTAATGACTGCAGTTGAAGTGAATTTGTTCTCCTGGCAGGCAAGAGCTTCTCGCTGAGCATCATCATCAACACGACGCCCATGCAGATCACGACGCTCACCAAGGCAATCAAAGTAACAGTTGACGGGCCCAGAGAACCACGCAATAAATCCCGTGAGTTTTCTGTCTCTTTATTCCAGGGATTAACTCAAATCTTGTGCTATTTTGTAATCATTCTTAGCACCAGTGAAACCTTTGAAGGTGTTCTGAAATGTTGCCAGCGGTTTTCTACACTAATGAAGAAAAAAAATAATAGAAAGATCCTGCATTCTTGCAGCATAAGACAAATTCAGTAGAAATTAGAGGCATGCCAAGTTCCTTGTGGATACATTCTAATAAATTTTTTATAGTTATTTCATGAGTTTCCCTTTCAAATGGTGTATTTTTTTGCTCTCAGTTCATATTGGGCTTTGTTTTGATATCAGTTTATTTGTGGTGGAATTTTCATCCAGTTTTCATTGCGAGTTCTTACATATGTAAACAGACAGCGGCATCATTAGTGACTCTTGCATCAATCAATGCAGTAGCTAACTGAAGTTTGCTTCACAAGTCTGAATAATATTCTGCTCGCTTCGAGTCAGAATGACTGCGTTATTGGGGGAAACAAATTCACGAAGAGTTGCTATTTAGAAAAATTATACGGGATGTGTCTGCCAATTTTTGGATGCCAACATTCAAACAAAATTTCAAGTTCTTCTTCATAAATTTTAATATTGAATTCAATTTTTAGCTTCGGCCTTCGTTTAGTTCTAGTTCTCAGCCGAGTGTTATAGTTCAGCTTCACGTTCATAGAGACGGGCTTATATTTAAGTGCCAAAAAAGGTCCTCTACTCAGGTGCCACGGTGATTGTCAAAAGTATGAAGAAAATTAATTTAAAAAAAGAAATTGAAGCTTGAATTTCCTGATGAGTCATAATTAAATATGAGGAAATGGGCACATGTAAATACTTTCTATTTAGCTAGGGAAGTATGTAAGCTAAAAAGTTCATAAAGACTTTGTAGTGTAGCAGAAGAGCCTATAATTTGTTTATTATTCTATAATATCTCTTCTCAACGTGATTGAGTTAAACTTCATCTATTTTGAACGAGCGTCCAAAATTTATAACCATTGAGAACTCCTAGCCAACTTAACTAAATATTATGTATGTTGCCAATAACTTTCAGAATTGCAGTCCATCTCCCGGTCACACAACGTTCCTCTACTAATTACAAGAAAATTATTTCCATTGAACTGCTGTCTGAAATTGAGTTGAATCACACAAATAATAATACAGTAAGACTTCTTTGCGTAGTTTAGACGTTGGCTTTATTTTCAAGCAGGCCACAGCGGCTGGGGGTTTCCTCTGGGCTATCATCCGCTGCTGGACTCCCACCTCTCCAGTCTGGGTTACCTCAACCCCGGCCTCTTCGGCCACCTCGGCCACTCCAAAGCCCTCGAGCTCAGTCGAGGTCAGTCAACTATTTGGGGCGTCATGTTCTCGTCAACGAGATAGTTTAAAGCCTACGCTGCTTAACTAATGTTTGGAAGCTACACAGTTTGCTTATTTTATTAATATTGAATCACAAGGAAACCCTGCTGCATGCTGTACAACCGTTCGCACACATCGCGAGAATGATTGATCTATAGATTTTAAATACAATCTTCATTTCAAGTTTTCTCTACTTGTCCGCTTAGATTACTTGCAATTTTCTACTTGCAAATGCAAGAAATCACCGATTACTTGCAATTTCGATGCAATGCCCTCGGATTAACTATCACGATTATTTAAACATACTTTCCTGTCGTGGTCACGTCAGCGGGCGGCGTGGCGACGTGGCTGGACGCGTGGCGGTCATCATCAGGACTGCTGCCGTCGCTGCCGTCGTCGTCCCTGCACTCGCCCTTCCAGGCCGCCCTCCACGCGTCGTCCCTGGCGGCAGCTTCACTGAACCCCTCAGTGGCGTCAGCTGCGGACTTCTGCACACGGTCCCGTCTGCAGCATCATACGGCCGGCACTGCAGGTGTGTAGGGCATCACACGGCTGGCACTGCAGGTGTGTAGTGCATCACACGACCGGCACTGCAGGTGTGTAGTGCATCACACGGCCGGCACTGCAGGTGTGTAGGGCATCACACGGCCGGCACTGCAGGTGTGTAGTGCATCACACGGCCGGCACTGCAGGTGTGTAGGGCATCACACGGCCGGCACTGCAGGTGTGTAGGGCATCACACGGCTGCAACTGTAATTCAGCGGCGGGTACAGCAGCTGTATTGTGTAGCTGGAGTGACGGCCACTTCAGCTAAAACTAAAATTTCATTGAATGGCTCAGCGGTCACAGTAATTGGAACATAATGAGTTCATGACTCGAAACTCTTTAATAAAAATAAAATCCCCAATGAAAATTAGTGGCCGAAGAGTTTAGGTTACGCAATTATTCGGAAATCACGAAGTCATACAGCAGATTGAAGCAACTGATTAAATTCTATTTCTACTCTGCTGTATTCTCAGCTAAATAGCTTCTCACATCACACAAGTTGACTGTAAAGAGCAGCATTCCGCATGCACCATATCCACGGCATGCGTGAGCCGTGTTGCCCTTTAGGCACCACACCGCTGCGCCGCTCCTGCTGCACCGAGTCTATCATTAAAACTTTGCTTACACAGCGCGGGACGCACCGTGCAAAGGTGCTCTCAATATTTCAGCGAATAGCTTCCCGTAAAAGGTTGGCGTAAATCTTTACGTTCAGCAAGAGAACGCTATTTGCATAACATTTCATAGGTACCTGATTTGCGATAAATGTCTCACGGGCGGCTTTGAATTGTTCAGCTCTAGATTTGGGTTTTGAATCAAGAGGAGTTAATGCCTGTTTCGTAGCTCGTGCAGGAATCTAGAGTCTGTCCATTGATAATTATTGATTCAAGGATTTGTTAGGATTTACTTCATATCATCTGAACTGGTCAGATCCAGCCAAGGATCTTTTATAATTATCATCGGCTTTAGTAGTTGCATCAAAATGTTCTTTAAAACTAAGATCCAAATCAGCAGTGAAACAAATTATAAAATTCCAAATGAATGATAGATCTCTTTCGAAATTGTATTAATACTCAATTAGCATATAGACCACCGAATGCGATTAATATTTGTCGCGTAATGGTAAACTATTAAACCCCATTGTTTTGCAATTAATCTGAAATGGTGGGAAATTTTGCTAGTTTTCTGTAATTTCGATATAATTTGTTCGGAATTTAGCCCACATGAAATTATAAAACATATTTAATTATCATCAAGCTACGCTGAATGATAATGAAGGCTCAAATGCATTTACTGATAAAATTGACACAACATTAAAATGTAGATAATCTGCTGTCTTGTGTGACTAGAATTAAGACAACAGGGATGAGTGCGTTAATGGCGACTCGCAACAAGATTCAACGTAACTTTCTTTTAGTTCAATTGATTCCTTGTTGGATTACTAACCTGCGCGGCGGATGTCTTTTTGCTCGGACTTGTGACGCCCCGACTGTTCTGCCCACAGACGTCGCCCCCTGCCTGCGGTGCCGAGGCTGTGAGACTGGGGGAGACTGCACCCAAACCCCTCCTTCCCCACTCACATCCCCCACACTCTCCAGCACACCCCCTCCCCGCTCCCCGTCATCTCCCGCAATAACCAAGTCCCCCTGCACCAGTTCTTCCTCATCATTCCTCCAGTCCAGCAACAGCTGCTTCAGCAGTGTTCTCAGCGCCTTCTCAGTCCCCTCCTCCTCCCTACTTAACACCAGTCACTCCCCCACCTCATCCTCCCTCCTTCCCCCCTCCCATTCCCTCACAAACGTTCTACGGAACCATCCTCTGAACGGTCCCGGCCTCTCTTTAGTATCATCGTCCCGCTCCCTGCCTCTGTCCCTATCCCCGTCTCGTCCCCTGAGTTTTTCTCGCCACGCGTCCCCGTCGCGGGGAAGCGTCCATCTGGCGCAGTCTCCCCAGCGCTCGTCTGTACTGCACTCACCCTCACTTCTGCCCCCTTTGGGGACGGCTGAGTCCCCCACACCTCGCTCCCCATCACCTCCCCCGCTACTACCGCGGTCGTTGCTCTCCGCAACTATTAACGGATCTCCTTCGTCTTCTGTGTCTAACTCTTCGTCTTCATCGTCCTCGTACTCACCCACCACATCGTCGTCCTTCAAACTCACGGGCAGAAGTACCGAATCCAAAGTCTGGCGGCCGTACTGAGGCTCGTGGTGGTCCAGGGGCCAGCGACCCAACACGGCACTTTTGCTCCACATTGAAATCGTTCACGTTTATTTTTATTAAATAACAGGACCAAATGCTAATCGGACATAACCGACATTCATGCATTAGTGAGGAATTTGTTGTGTACAGCGCAGCTCAGGCGAAATGAGGAGTGGTCGTACTATGATTTCCCGCTCGCTTCATATATGAATGTTCACCTGTTGAATTTTGTCATTCTGTCCGTAAAATTTTGATGGGGTGAAATTATTTCCCGTTCCCCGTTCTCGAAAATTTATGCAACATCGACTGAAGTTTATCATAAGTTTAGACACCTGAAACCTGCCCTGGAGGTTACATTGTGAACGTCTGCTCTGCCAATTTACTGATCTCATGTGGGCTACACTCACTACAACTTACTCGTACTAAGGCAAACGTTTTCAGTGTTTTCTTATCAAGGCATATATATATATCCGAGCGCCTGATGGCGCTATAGTCAGAACCTGATCAGCTTCTTGTGAGGGTCGGTCTCCGTGTTCCCAGTCCCTAAATGAACCGTCGCGTCAAACAAGCAATTCGACGAACCTGTGCTCTTCTGACGCTTAGAACGCGTAAGTGGCCCTGAACTACCAGAGCTTTGGCCAGTGCTTGATCTTTGAATGGAGTCGTAGTCCTTAACTCTGTGATTTTTCATTCCATTAAAATAAAGTGTTTTAACTAACGTTACAAGAATTAAAGTTCTTAATTGATTGAAGGTTCTATTTTAACATACATTTTTTTAAGACAAGCGATTTACTGTTTCATTTTTGAGAAGAGGTACAAATCCAGATAAGTGCAATATACTATTGACGACGATATTAATAGACGATGTTTAGTCGGAGACGATGTATCGCAAAACATTATTCGTAAATTTCTTTCCCTCATGGAAAAGAATCAGTTAATTACTTTCTCGTTACATTTCTCCTGCTGAATGTGGATAAAGCAACGTGAAACAGTCGAGCGTGTAAATGTGTATTATAGTCAATGAGTAATTTTTATAATGCAGCCGCCACAAATTTGTACATAATTAGTTATAATCAAACTGTATCCAATGACCGTTACTTAACTCGTCTCCGATGTTCGTGCATTAAACATTAATAATTTTCTCCAGTTCGATATAGACAGAATTTTTCAGTAATTGTAGATGATTTAAAGGTAGCGAATACATTTTTAAGGTCTAGAAAATTTCATAGAAACGTCTTGCTGAATGTCATTCAATTTTGTACAAAGATTTGAATGTGGATCCCGACAGTGTCTGGGCAGTGGCCTCTCTAAATATATCATGGTCACGCCATAGTAAGTGATATAAGGAACCAAATCATAGTGATTTTTAATAAGCTTCTTGTTATTTTATTTCTTCTCAATACATTAATTGTGCAAATTCGACATTCGTATACATTTTTCTAACTTTTTGGTTTCGAACGCAGTCAATAGCCCTAACCCGCCCGGGACTTCTAACAGATCAGCACAACCTGAGCGTCCAGCACCACAAGCTGTTTTCCCCCTCCTTACCTGCCATGTCGCCCGCTGCTCCTATTATGCAGCAATTACCACCAAATAATTTTATTATTGTTATCTATGAGTAGAGACTTCTTAGTGAAGACTTCGTCATTTGAAACAAATGTTAAATGGTAGTTCTTCCAATAAGGTCCTCCTGGCAATCATGCAGTGACGATTCCCGATTTACAAGAAGTTCCTTTTCTTTATATTCTTTCATTTGTACATTTATTCTTGAGTTGTCACACAGTTTTATGCATTCTCTTCACAAACCAAGACCTCAAGGTTCAACATTAATAGATATGCATCAATTTAGCTTTCATTTTATCAACTTTATCAATAAGTACTCTCCCAGTACTTATTTAATTAGCTCCGACCAAGAAACTTGAATGCGCGCTACGCTCGCGATATATCTATTCTCCGTAGCATTTGTTGCAATTTCTGCTAGTATTGCTTGATGGAAAAGTCACGACACTTGCAGAACATCAGGTCACTCTGTAATATTTACCGAGCTTAGTTTTTCATATGAGTGAAGGAATTGCTCGCTTTTAATTAATATAGATTCGAAGATGAAACCAGTATGTTCGTGCGTTGAGCTGTGCGCCATTTGCCATCATTGATAACTTTTTTATTTGTAAATTTAAAAGTTTAAGGAATAAAATGTACGACAAATGGACAATTAGATTACCGAGCGATTTATGGCAAGAAATATCAATGTCTGAACCTGGACCGAATGTCAGGACTGGACTGAATCTTCTTTAGTTTGAGGCTCTTTCTTGAATAATTAAATATGTTTTTTTCTAATTCTCTCCCTACTGCATTGGCCAGGTGCTAATTAATTCTTGCGAAAACATCACTAATATGCTAACATTTGAAACTCATATTAAAATGCTGGGAAGTAGTCTCCTAATTTATATACAGTAGGTAGATTTGCTTTTATTTTCTATCTTTATCTAAAATAAAAATAGCGAAATTGCGGGGGTATTTTTGAGAGCAAAGTTAATGTGGATTTATTTCGTAAATTTATACGACTCTAAAAGTTCTGGCACAAAGAAAAAATTATCGTCGGCCCGATTTCCGCTGTAAGGGTTAACTGTTGGCGAATGAATTCCATGTGCCGTGGTAGTCGATATGAATTTAATTGAGTTATTCGATCAAATTGGATTAATTGAGTATTTATGGTATTGTACCCGTGAAATGAGTGAACTGTATTCAACACAAAATCTGTAATAAAAATCTCGTAACTTGGATGTTTAATTGGTATCCCCAAATTGTTTACAATCTCATGGCATATTAAAATTTGTTGATTAATGGCCTTGTGAACTTCCGTGAAGAATACGCAAACTTGCACTTATATTGAACACTCGTTACTTACAATTATCTATGAAAGACATATAAGATGTTATGATAATCTGTATTCATTTATTATTATTTACAACATATATGACTTGTCACGAACTGTCATTCGCTCATTGGAAGTTTCACTCTCTGGATATTTCACTCACTGCACGTTTCACTCACAAGGAGTTTCATTAACTGGACATTCCATTCACTGGAAATTTCCATTCGCTGGAAATGTCTTCAGAAGCTTTTTTCCTTATAAGACCCATCCATTTGATGTTACACTCCCTCGAAACTTCACTTACAACCGATGGGAGTTTCACTTATTGGGCATTTTAACCGCTTAGAAGTTTCACGCACTTGAAGTGTCATTCACTGTGCCATACCGTTTTTATTTCTGATCAAAATCATTTTCTTTCTTCGGACATAATTTGAACTAAGGGAGATTATTGCTAGTTCTGTGGCAAGGCTCAGTTGATAAACTTCTTGGTTGTGTACCACAAACTCTTATATCCTTGTTCAATTTTCAGCGAGAAAAATAAATTGTAGCGAACTATTATCGAATTATTCTCATCCTTATGCAATACACTCCTACATTAAAAAAAGTGTACTTTCCCCAGCCTTTAGTTTTAAACTTTGTCACGTATGAATTACGATTAATAAGTATCACGTCATTTTTAGCGCATTTCCTCATTTATGGAAAAAATGCACTATTGTACTCGCCATGTCCGTCTGTCTGTCCGTCCGTCCGTCCGTCTGTCCGTCCGTCCGTGACCTCAAGTTTTCGTCGACGAGAAAATGCGCTCTTTGTCACTCACTGCAGTGAGTACTGAGTTATATTTTTTACTCATCGGCTTTTTATTTTTTTCTGATTGAAAGATTCGTAGAGACGTAGATTTAGAAAAAAATAACGTTTTTTTATCGCAGCTCTTGTGGTTCTTACCTCTGATGGCTGAAACCAGCTACAGGGCTGGCGTTATCATGAATTCATTTAATAAAGATTTGAATTATATTATAACGGGTGTGACGAAAATTATTTACAAGGAGCAAATAGAAATTTGAAAGAGGACTTGAAATAAATATTTGGTAGGGCAACATGGGGCAGCGCACCCTCCCCTTTTTTTAAACTAAATTTTTGATTAAGTTTCAATTGATACGAGGTGTTCTTTGTTTTATTTAAAGGTGCAACTAATGAGGAATGTATGATGTGAATTAGACGCCTATAGAGTTATTCAATTTTTAATAAAACACTATTTTGTAAAAAGTGTCAAAACGGGCCCATTACCCCACCCCTGGGGCAATGGGCCCATGGGCTTGGGGCAAGGCGCCCACCCTTGGTCCCTTTACCACAATTGCATATTTTTCGTTTAAAAATGATAAAACAACACTTTACAGTTCAAAATAAGAAAAGTGTAATAGAAAATATGACATTCATTCATTTATTAACAACTCAAAAAATCATATCCTTAACGTGAAAAAATAGACTCTTGGCTTAAAAAATCTATCACTGACGTGAAGAAAAATATTTCATTGACATAAATATGTATATCCTTGACTTGAAAAATATATCCTTGCGATAAAAAATTCGTCCCTGACATGAAAAAATGTATCCTGGACTAGATAAAATATATTTAGTTGTTCAGAAAAATCTTCGTTTCAGTTTCGTCAATAATCCAGATATTATGTGCAGAGAATGCGTACCTAAACGTGATTTCACCCAACGTCATAAAAACTCATCAACTTTTGGTTCATTGGTGTTGACTGAAATCAACTTTTGGCAAGGCAAGAGTCAAAAACTCGATAAGGGGTCATATATACGCATAACATGAAACTAAACCTGCTGCCTTGAGGCGTCAAATCCAAAAATCATGCAATATGAAGTGTAATTTGTAATTCAAAAAGCTAGTCATAGTTTGAAAAGGTCATTGAGACAAATCTAATGATGTATAACACAAGACTCCACCATGGGCGCTTTGCCCCGTGACACGCGTGGGCCCGTTGCCCCCCTAGGTATCATTTCAATTTATATCGTGTCAACATTTTATTTTAAAAGCTAATAGTCTAAACTTGATCTCAAAATTATCCCTATAAATATTACTTTCAAAATATAATTCACAGTAATTTCAAAAGCTTCATCTACAGTAATCGAAAACAGTTTTATTTAGCAGCAAAAAAAAACTTTATCTGGGCTGAAACAATTATTCACAAATATCTTAATAACGCAAACACTTAGCAAAACGTAAATCCGTACACGTCATCCCAGTGAAACTGTCGACCGGCGGTAGAAAACACGGACCAATATCTGCCATACTTAGCGAGAAACTCGCTATGGGCCCATGACCCGCAGTGGGCTCGCTGCCCCATGTTACCTATACGCATTATTTGTCATTTGTAATAAACTTTTACACAGTCTCATTCCAGGCAAATGCTTAGGAACAGAAAACCTGAATTTCACTCAATATCAATGCACTATATATTAATATATATAATGCGTATCTATAAACTATATCAATATATTACAACAGCCATTACACTTGTGTCAGACCGAAGAAATTGAAAACCAAGTAAACGCAATCATGAGATGTAAAGATTTTTGTTTTTAGTTAGTTGATGGTGATATTACAAGGAAGGTCCAATAACTATTACGTCTCGGCAAACCATTGGTTACGATGTGAAATTTATAAATAAATAATTACTTGAGACTGTACGACTCGCGGCGTCATCTCTTCAAAGTTCGTAGTCAATATTTCATAAACAAATGGTCTCTAAATAACGTCTAGAAGCGAACAAAAACAACAAATTCATAAAACTCTTACTTTTTGTCATTAAAACCTAATAACCGATTAACAATTTTTAAAATTGTTGTCTCATTGCCACAAAATGTAATGACAATTTGTATTGAATAGAATTAAGCCCAGCCTTTGTGGCACATCAAGGGAATATCGTCACTTCTAAAAACCATTCTACTTAACTTATTGGGGTGAATTTAAATAGATAGTCTAACAAAAATTAGATCAGTACTCACTGCAGTGAGTGACAGAGAGCGCATTTTCTCGTCGACGCAAACTTGAGGTCACGGACAGACGGACAGACGGACAAACAGACAGACGGACGTGGCGAGCACAATAGTTAATTTTTTCCATAAATGAGAAAATGCGCTAAAAAATCAGAAGAACCGACGAGTGAAAAAATTAATTCAGCCAGCACTCAGATTTGGTGCGAGTCAATCGGGGAGCAAAGTTTAGCACAAGAGCAGGAGTTGGCCGTCACTGAGCCAGGCCCCGCGCGACACCTTCATTACGGCGCGCCCCTCGCAGCATTTTTACCAACTTTCGAAAGATTTTTAACACACCAACTTCGTTTCCAAACAAAATGAACTAACTTTCTTTTGGAGGTCTTAGCCATTTTTATCCGTCACCCTCGCTATTTGGAGCATTTTTAGGCTACGGCTGCTTGGTGCACTGAACTTCTTTGCAATAATTGGAAGGGATTTTTTCCCTGGCTTCTCGTTAAGTATCGCCGAGTTTCGTCCAGAGTTTTGGCACCGGCTTCGAAATCTACGCCGGCAGCTAATAATCTGCAAAAACAAATAAGTTAGCATTCACTTGTCGAATTGGAACTTGTTCATTGCTACAAGAAATTCAAAGATAAAGCATAGAATTTCTCGGGAAAGACAAGTCACGAACTGTGAGTGCCATGAAACATGTATGGTCTTGCTGCAGAAAGAAGAGTATGTAGGGGGAACTTGGAGGGATCGAACCTCCAGGCTAGCTGTTAAACAATATGTCGAGTATGAGATCTATTGAACAGAAGACCTTCTTATTTACCCAATCACGTCGATTCTGAGGACAAAAACGTTGTCGATTCTTAAAAACAAGGAAAATTATTTCCGTAAATATAATTTATTATTTTATTATCAAACATTTTCAAGGATTCGTTGAATTTGTAACTTGTTTTTTTCCTAAATGTTGCAAATGAAATACAATTTTTCGATTGTGGAAATTACTTTGAAGTCGTCAACTTTTTGTATTCTGATACTTGCAGGGACATCCAAATGCTGAGGGATTTTGAGCTGAAAGATCGCAAATAACAGTGATTTTTCTGCTCGCCTTCCAAGAGATTACATCCATCTTGAGTCTTGATAAGCCATAAATATTCGTTCATAATTAGCGGTATATTAATGATGTATTTCGCAATTGATGCGGTATGAACAGAGAAGTGATACAATTTTCTTTTCAGGAAAATATTTCAAGTAAAAAGTTAAGCAGCTGCAAGACTTACATGACGCATTTTACCATTGAGTTGCATAAACCTCCATAACTATTTCCATGTCATTCACTTTCAGGTTGAGTGGGGTTCATTCTCCATCATCCATCTCGTGGTTTTTATCTCCCGTATAGAGCGACGCTCATGTCCAGCTTTAATCCTTTCCATGTCCTCCGCCTTCCCGTTGAGTGGCGTTCATGCAGCCCCTCAAAATCTGATATAAACAAATCGAATAAAAGACGCGCTGGCGCAGCTCTGCACATATAATGCAATTAAAATGTCCATCAGACATCAATTTTGCCTTCCCATACTCCATGCACTTCACTGACTGTCGGATTTTTGGAAAATTCAGTCGATTGCAAATACATGAACTGTCATAGGATCGTATGACCTATAAATACTGGTCATTTTCAGTTTACGTTTGCGTTTATGTAGAATTTCATGGTAGAATATTTGCATTTCTGTGTGATCAATTCATGGAATATGAAATCATTTTTCATCCGTTGAACAAGCTAAAGCTAAGAATAAACTCTAAATAACGAATAGAACTTCAAGTTCAAAAATTACATATCAAATTTAAGAGTGAAACTCGAGGTTCAAGAAAGGATCTCCACGGTTAGCAATATAATTTACCGTATAAATAATGATGGATAGTTTAAATTTTCGACAGAAGTAATGAAATACGTCGAAAAATCATTCTATTACCTTTTTTAGTGAGAAGCAAACCTATATAACCAACACTAAACTATGGGCTAGGCAATTAGATATAATCAAATTTATATATCAAGCATATACGGGAAATATTTGTAGATATAATTGATTGTTTTGGCTATGTCTGATCCCAGACATTTTGCCTTCTATTCCCCTTCACTAACACGTACAGACGCACGCAAAGATTTTTTCTTTATTCAAACGCAAAGCTCGCAGCTCTCCATCATTAGCGGCGCTGTCCCCTAGGCGGTGCCCCTTGTCGTTGGGCCAATTAGGTCGTGTATGGTTCTCCAAATGGCTCAGCGCCCCCCGGGCCCCTCCTCAAAATTGGCCCCTCGAGATTTACGACACACTGAGCTGCGGCAGCGCCGGCGACACTTGCCTCTGGAGCCTACAGCTGCAGCTGGAGCGTGGCTTATATGGTGCTCCGACTCCATCTGCTGGAGCAGCTGGAGCGTGGCTTATGTGGTGCTGCGACTCCATCTGCTGGAGCAACTGGAGCGAGGCTTATATGGTGCTCTGACTCCATCTGCTGGAGCAACTGGAGCGAGGCTTATATGGTGCTG